TTCATATAAATGTTAAATAACATCGGAGACAGGATGGCGCCCTGGGGAGAGGTTGCAGCAGTTTGTTTTGGCCTGAGCCTTCTGGGAAGGACAAGATTCTGCTCCCTTCTCCTCTCTGCTGAATTGAGTGCAACCTCCTTTTGCACTTTGAACTCAGTTTGCAGTGGCTGAAGAAAGTTAAGGACAAATGAGGAAAGTCAATGGGAGGAGGAGAGCAAAACCAAGACACCATAAAGCAGCCTAAAATGTAGGAAGCTGTGTGCCTTCAAGTTATTTCCAACTTATTGCAACCCTAAGGCAAACCTGTCATGGGATTTTCTTGGCAAGTTTCTTCAGATAGGGTTTACCACTCTCAGTGAGGCTGAGAGTATGTGACTTACCCAAAGACAGAGGATTAATTGGGAGTGTTCCTGCCAAATCAGGATAGTTGGAGGATATTTCATGGCTTCTACAGACATGCAGTAACCTGGATCTCATTGAGTTTGGACCATACCAACCCAATAGGATAATGGAACTTGCATTAGAGTCTATGGCAGGTACAGAGGCCAGTTCTGGCTGCATTGGAATTGTGTTCCATCCAGAACAGGAGGATATCTGGATGAAGATGCAGAGTGATATATACAACAGGAAGAAGCACTTCTGTCTCTTGTGGCATCTATATATTTAGTGCAGCCCAGAGGGAAGAAAAAGTTGTCAAATAGTTGAAGGTGCAGAGTCTCCTGTTTCAGGGTGGCGAATGTCCTGGAGAGAGCATCTGTGATTCAAGATATCAAAGACACCAAGCCAGAATAGAGTCAAATGCAGAGAGAGAATGTGAGGGCAGAAGCATGGTCAATACAGTACTGGATCTGAGCACAAAAAGTAGCCCAAGAAGGGTCCAAAGCCATGCGGAAAGTCACTGAAGAGAGTAAAGAACAAGCCACAGGTCAAGACAGAAACAAGTGGATCTGGGCTGTTGCCGAGTCCCAGTTTGGAGGGCTCTAAACCAGCCCAACTAGTCTGCTGTATATACTCAACTACAAGTTAACCTCCTGTATAAGTTGAGGAAAGGTTCTGGGTCCAAAATTATGGATTTTGATATGACCTGTGGATAAGTTGAGGGTAAAACTTAAGGGGCGTGTCACGAAGGATCTAAAGGATGAAGCAAAGGAAAATGATGGTGAAGAACTTACAAAATCCTGGCAGGCATTAACTGTTTTGTGTTCACCCTAAAGGCTGGATGGATGAGAAGGGAACAACAGTAAATGGTGGATGTGAGTTGTATAAGGGAGGCGACAAGGTATAAGTGGGGCTAAGAAAACGTACACATGGCAACAAGGATGAAAAGGCAAAGCAAAGAGAATAGCGACTGTGTCAGCAGTGATTGTAGCCTTTAACTTTAATGTGATAACCCAGAAAGAGTGACAAACATACATAAATGCCTTATTCAAATCCTTTAAAGCCCAATTCTTCAATGTGCTCCTTTGAGGGGAAATACCAAAGAGCTGCCGCTGCTGCCATTTTCCCACTGGAGCATTCAAAAAGGTCAGAATAAGCGACACCACGGTGGAGAAAGCAGAGGGGGTCGGTGCTTCTTTTAGGTGTTTCTAGGATGAATGGAGCTCTTGCCTTTTGCCGCTGAACTCAGAGAAGGGGATGATTCCTTCTTTTGGAAAGGGCTCATTCCCACTAGGATTTAAACCATCGGGTTATATGACCGTCATTCTCACTTGAAACTGGTTCCGATCCTACTGTGCTTGGTTTCAATCGCAACGAAGTGAGGCAAACGCAAAAGAACTACTCTTCTTTCCTGACACTAATTTTTGTGTGGTTCTTTTGAAAAGACCCGAATATGAACCGTGTTCAACAAGTGGGAACGATGGGTCGGATTCACATTGGAGGGCTGTGCCAGCTCTTGCCGGCTTCTCCCGGTGCTCTGGTGCCATTTTGGGCTCAGCCAAGGCTAGCAGATGGGGAAGTCCATCCTCCCTTCCTCCCCTCGGCAAGGATGGAGTTGAGAGGCTTTCCTCCTTGGAGAAAGAGCCAAGGCCTCACCAGAGTCCTTGGAGCATGGCTTCAGCTTCTCTTCCTTCCTCTTCCTTTCCTAGCTCGGCCATGGAAACCCACTGGGTGACCCTGGGCAAGTCACACTCTCTCAGCCAGAGGGGACGAGGAGGAGGAGGAGGTGAAGGAGGGCCCAGGAGCTCTTGCCTTTGGGGAGCAAGACACACTCTCTCAGCCAGAGGGCACAAGTCTGTTGTTGGGTTTTCTTGGCAAGGTTTGTTCAGAAGGAGTTTGCCTTTTCTTTCCTTCTCCTCCTCTTCCTCTCTCTGTGGCAGCCATTCTTCCTCTTCCCCCCTCCCCCTTAAGTGTGAACAACAAAGAGGAGTAAAAGGGGAGTAAACGGCCCTGGAGAGATTCGATAACAAAATAACCTGGTTTCCACACCGGGTTACTTTGTAGTGGGAATGAGCCCCAAGTATAGAGAACCAGCATGGCTTAGTGGTTTAAGTGTTGGACTGTGATTCTGGAGAGGACGGTTTGATTCCCTGTTCAGGCATGAAACGCACTGGGTGACCTTGGGCAAGTCACATGCTCTCAGCCTCAGGGGAAGACAATGGCAAATCTCCTCTGAACAAATCTTGCTAAGAAAATCCCATGATAGGGTCACCTTAGTGCAGTGCTTCTCCATTAATTTCTGTCACGCTCCCCCTAGGAAAGAAGAAAACATTTCGCGCCCCCCCCCGCGCGACTGTAAATAGTCACATGGGCGGGTTTGACCAATCAGGATAGAGCACGTTGGGCTGCTACTGGGGCTGCGCTGGGACAATCTCCCTCTCTCCAGCCGTAACGGGCCCCCCTTTACAGAGCCTCGCGCCCCCCCGGGGGGCCCGCCCCACTATTTGAGAACCACTGCCTTAGTGTCACCATAAATCAGAAATGATTTGAAGGCACACAACACACACACACACACACACACACACTACTTACCAGTACATTGACCAGTGGATAAATTGGCTCAGGTTTTTTGGGTCAATTTTTTTGACTAAAATTTCTAGACTTATGCATGAGCATATACAATAATTAGCTCAATACACTCGTCCCTCCACATTTGTGGCTTTGACTTTTGTGGATTTGATTATTCACAGATTTTATTAATATGGTCTCTCTAGGAATAGTGCAACTCCTGCGCAACCCTATGGTCAAACCTTAACCAAAAGTTGCACTGAAGCACCTAGAGATCCCTAGAAATAACCCTCCACTAGGCATTTGTAGCTCCTCCGGCACAATTCTTTGGTCATTGTCTGGCAGATGTTGACCACAGAGTTGCACTGGAGGACCTGGAGGTTCCTAGAGAGGAGTTCTCTCAGGTAAAAACATTGTGTTTTTGTTACTTGCAGTTTTTCCACATTCATGTGGGTCCTGTGCCCCTAAATTCAGCAAATGTGGAGGGATGAGTGTTTTTCCTTTTTAAAGCATACTGAGATGGCCCTGTTCCTTTGCAGCTTCAGCTTCAAAGCAAAGCAGCTTCATTTATATAATGCTTCATATCTTGCTATGGGATGTCTAAGCGGTTTACAACTGTAAGCTCATTGCCCCCCAACAGTTGGGTACTCATTTTAGCGACCTTGGAAGGATGCAGGCCTGAGTCTAGCCTGAGCCCTGGCTAGTATTGAACTCGCAACCTTGTGGTCTATGAGTGAGTGGCTGCAGAACAGGCATTTAACCACTGCGCCACCAGGCTCTTCCTTTGTTAGTTGCTGCTTTAATCTCCAGTGTTCAGAAGGATGCAGTGTCCCAGACTCCTGTTCTTCAGAGTCTACATGGACCAGATTCAACTTCCAAGGCAGGGATGGCAGATTCCCTCTGGCTTCAAGGTAGGAATGCTTGCCCCCAGATGACTGAGTGGAACTTGCCACCTGTGTCCTTCTTTTCCCCTTCCTCATTTGAAGAAGACTTTTCCGGGTGAGACATGACATTGAGCTTGGAAGAAGGACACAATAACAATCACAAAATCATAGAATCATAGAGTTGGAAGAGACCCCCCAAGGGCCATCCAGTCCAACCCCCTGCCATGCAGGAACTCCCAATCAAAGCATCCCCGACAGATGGCCACCCAGCCTCTGTTTAAAGACCTCCAAAGAAGGAGACTTCACCAAAATCTCCAAGGGAGTGTGTTCCATTGCCAAACAGCTCTCACTGTCAAGGAGTTCCTACTAATGTTGAGGTGGAATCTCTTTTCCTGTAGCTTGCATCCATTTGTGCTTTTTTTCGTATAAGAACTTACATTTTCTTGTTACTTCACAACCTTGGCTGACATCCTGTTTGTGACATGTATATGTAAGTTCCCATACACATGTAGTTGTGTGTGTGTGTGTGTCTGTGTGTGTGTGTGTTTTGGCAACTGTAACATCTGTATTCAATTGCAAGTTGTGGGAAGTAGAGTTGCATGTGCAATGCCATTGTACCTGTGGTGTCATTATGCATTGTGCATGCATTGAGGACTACAAAATCCAGATATACAGTGTGCACTGAACATATACATTTCCCATTTGTTTGCACATTCACTTGTACAGGGTTGCAATTCGCTAATGCACATTCGTTGCATAACTCAGAGGGTGTAAAGTCACACTCATGTCTCCTTAATGCAGTATCTTGGTCCTTATTTGGGGGAATCATTTTGGGAGATATTTATATATTTAAATAGTTTTCAACAAAAAATTAAGAGTAATGCATTAGGAATGTATTATTAAAGTGTAATGTTACTTGGTCCTTGCAATGATGAGTAGCAAGCAACACATCACTTTAAAAAGCAACAACCTAACAACTGTAAAACTTACATATTAAATTTTGCAAGAATGTTTCCAGCCTCTGTGTGTGTTTATGGGTTTGTGATATTGTTTTAATGAACCAAAGTTGTGATCCGGACAGTATCGGAAATTCTCTGGGAGCCTAGCCAGGAATTTCAACATGGGTGACACAGAAAATCGTCACAATGAGTTGTGATATACAACACTGTTGTCTTAAATCATCACCACATGGCAAGGCCTGTTGTTTCTAAAAACATATATTTAAACTCTACAATTCCAAAAGTCCCAGTAGCTTGCAAAAGACGCCATTTCAGAGACGATACAAGACTTTTGGCATCTCCTGCCGCTTATCATCATTTTATTTTCCTGCTAGTGGGAAACATGCCATATTTGCATTTTTGAGCCTGAATAGTTCTAATTTCCCGTTTTTTAATTGCAGAAGCTCAAGAGGAACATTTACTTTGTTTTCATTGAGCAGTTATACAATTATTCCTTTTCAGATACTATGTGAACCATGAACCCTAATAGGCTAGGCTTTGTTAATGCAATTTGGCAGAGGTATTTACATGAAAACAGAAATCTAATGAATTTTTCAAATGAGTACATTGGTAACATATCGTAATTACTTTTTTTCTGATGGAGGGGGAGTTTGGAGAGACCCAAAATTCATTAAACTTCTTCTCAATTAGTAAAGAGACTTGCAAAACAAGCTGGGGAAGAAAAGAACAATGTTTTGTTATAAATACTTTACATTTCCCCTCTCCCAACTGGCCGTCCTCTACAATTGTGTTAAACAGCAGGGATGGCCCAAGATATTCTGCTGCCTGAGGTAAAACCATGCTGTCTCTTCAAGAAGCATAACATAAAAGTCAAGGGATATTGGCTTTTGAGGGAGAAAAATCCCACAAGAACTTCTCCATATCTCTGGCAAGAAAGAATACAACAATACATTAAATATCTACTGGTTTTCTTTGCTTTTTCATAAAACCCTAAACGAGTAGCTTGAGTCTGTTGGCTCCCTTGGCCTAATGGCAGGGCTGGATCTCTGGCTGCATTTTGGGATTTATAGTTTTTAAAGATATTTTTGAGATATTTATCCTTCTCTCTTAGAGAACTCAGGTGCCACAACAAACTACAAACCCTAGAATATCTTAGCATTGAGCCATGGCAGTTAAAGTGGTGTCAAACTGCATTATTTCTGCAATGCAGATGCAGATGCAGATGCAGCCAAAATTGGATAGCAAAGTTCTTTCGGCCTGATGGAGTTGAGGCTTGGAAAGGATTCACAAGGGACTGGGAGGATCGGTGCATGGTGACATGCCCTCCAGCACTTCACAGATGAAAATTGGGACACATGTGGCTAAGAAGCATGAGAATGTGAGTAAGAGACGAAATTCTCAAGAGAAGTGACTTCTGCAGGTAAGAAGGAAGCAAAAGGCCTGAGTATACAGACCAAAGAAAGATACAGAGAGGTGAAAACAAAGGACTGTCACTATCTAGGGCTCATCCCCACTATGATTTACATCGATTTACTGATCGCTTTAATGTGCCTCATCCCCATTTGAAACGGTTTCAGATGTGACTGCGATCATTTGAACTCACTTTGAAGCAAGATGGATGCAAAAATATTGCTCTTCTCAGACACTAGTTTTTGCCAGCCCTTTTGAAAAGAAGTGATTAGCAAGCGTGTTCAGCAAGTGGGAACGATGGACCTGAGTTGCATCAAACTGAAGGGGAGGAATTACTGTGGTAGAGGGTTGGCACAGAGGTGTATATCCCATTCTCACCACTTTTGGGGGAAATCTGCCATTTCCCCCCTCTCAGTGCTGCCTTTGTGCTTTGTGGTGTGACCTATGGGTGTACACCATTTTCCATCCATTTTCACAGACTTGAAGTCTGTGACCCTCGCTTATCCATGAGGGATGAATGGAGGGGCATAAAATGAGGTGTGCTCCCATGACACATGCCCTCTCGGCCCCGCAGACACGCACCTCCATTCAAGCCAATAGGGCTTGAATATTTGTGTTTTTCCTTTCTTGCGGAGGGTGGGTGGGTCCAGAATGGATCCCCTGAGAAAAGGAGGGGAGACTGTATTTTGGAAATTGGCAGTATATTGCTCCACTGTATTTACAATTACTTGCAATTAATTGCGGGTGGCAAGCTGGTGAATAGACTGACTGCAGCTCAGTGGGACAAGTAATTGCAAAAACAGTGGAGTGCATATACTGTCATTTTTTTTAAAAAAATTGGGATGCATGAATCCTGGGGGAGAGTACTCCATGACACCCATGGATGCATGCATCCCAGGGGAGAGTCCTCCATGACACCCATGGATCCATGCATCCCAGGGGAGAGTCCTCCATGACACCCATGGATCCATGCATCCCAGGGGAGAGCCCTCCATGACACCTATGGATCCATGCATCCCAGGGGAGAGTCCTCCATGACACCCATGGATCTATACATCCCAGGGGAGAGCCCTCCATGACACCCATGGATCCATGCATCCTAGGGGAGAGCCCTCCATGACACCCATGGATCCATGCATCCCAGGGGAGAATTCTGGCACTCGTGACTCCTTCCCATGTTTTTTTGAATGTATTGCCAGTTGTGTCACCAATGATATGTGGATGATTGACAGGCATTTTGAAGCAGCACAAACTAGTGGGAATGACAATCATGCCAAAAAAGAAGCAAATAAAGAAAAGACCCGCTTCCATAGTGGGAATGACGCATCGACTGGAATCGA